CCTGGACTATGTAGATATCTGTCCTCAGAATCTCCAGAATCTGCAACTCTGAAACAATGAAGCACGCATGTTGGCCATGTGCTGTTTTAACCACTTTAAAAACAGAGTACACAATTTAAAATCACACAGCAGTATACAAGTTCACATTTTGTGAAGTTACTCAGACCGTGACAAGCTGGAAAATATTAAAACAGGCCAACCTTAGCCTTCACCTATCACTCGCCAAAAACAAGCCTGTTGCAATGATAGATTCAAAACCTCATAGTGGCACAATCTTTCAAGTCAAGCATTCCCCCCCCCAAACAAACAAACAAACAGAACCACATAGGATGCAAAACTAAATCACGTGTTACACTGTGATGTAAAAGTTGCAACATTCCTTGGCCAGAAATATTTAAGACACATGGGCCATGCAGAGACATCATGCTAAACTTAAAAGTGATGTGAACAACCAGAAACAACCGCAACAAACCCCCTCCTCTCTGCTACTAGTTACCAAGAGCAAGAAAAGGAGGGGCGCAGCAAGGAGTACTTTAATGCAGTGTGGAAGCAAAAGCAAAGCGAATATGACACTCCTGCCAGCAATGGGAAGCCAGGTGAGCAATGCTTGCCCTGCCCATGAGGCCGAACCAGCCACTACTATTTAAACACGCACACAGGAGGGGAGGAACTCCAGAAATCCCATTATACCACATTAAATCTCATTCTAGAAGCTCTGCAACCTTCAGGAGCAGCTTTATGGATGGCATGAGGCGAAACTGAAAGGTTCCAGTGCTTGTACAGCATTCCCCCCTGCATCCATTTCAGTTCCTGCCATTGTTATCTATGTAATCTACTGCATAGGTATTGGACTGCATCAATCAAAAGCTGTTTGAAGGCAAGGTATTATCCAAATCTAAGCCTTCAGAAGCTAGAAAGGAGATAGAAGATTTTAACTAATAATGACAGTTTCAGAACAGTGTCTAGGTATGTATAATGGAAGATTTACAGTCCTTAAATCAAGAGTCGTTAAGATAGCGCTCACTCTTGGCCAGCCTTCTAGGGGTAAGTATGGCTAAATGTAGATGTGGGCACCACACACTCCTGCACATGCACCACACAGAACCCAAATTCACCTCTCTTCATGCCCCCAGTACTGTGCCTTCTTTTTCTTGGGATGGAGGGAAGATAAATATGTTTCAGGGGCCTCAGGCCAGAGATTAGACACCCCTGCATTAATGAATAAAAATATATCCTACCTGAATGAAGCATTGTATGCTGACACTTCTGAGATTTTAAATTCATCTCAAAATGCATGTGACACCTAAAGTTTTCAGAGATGTGCTAAAGTGTCACAGCGTAAATAGAGCTGCACAAACAGTACTACTATAATTGGCAAAGGAAAGCCACACATGCTGAGGGGATGAGATGTGGCTCCTGCTTTGTTCACTAAAATGGTGGTGCAATGGAGTGTGGCTAAGCGATATCATCATACGTCTCTCCTCTGCTGCAAGCAGCTTCCAGCAATATCTATCAGCAGGGATGATTTCTACTTTGAGAACATAAAAATACAATGTGCCTGGGGAATACAGAGTTTGAAAAAAGGAAGATGTTGCAGATGCTACATCCAAGTCCCTTTCGACAGAACTGGATGAAATTTTCATGCAAAGTTGCCCCACTTGACTAAATAAAGTCTGCAAAATTACAGACAAATAGGTCCAGAGGTTTGGTGGCTGGTCACCTTTAGAATTTATTTTTTAAAGGAACTGTCTATGATTTGGGGCAAGGAGAGCAGAATTGGATTAAATTTGCAGGATTGTTAGTCCCTTCTGAGAGGTTGAGTCCTGCCAAATTTCAGAAGGAAAATTGCAGTGGCTTTCCTAAAAGGCTAGCCTTTACAGTTGGGGAGTGATTTTTTAAAGGATTCCCTTACGCTCCCCTATTGTTCTATGAGCAACTTGTATAAAATAGCATACATGACAGAGATGTCCCCAAGTAAGAAATCTGCCAAATTACAAATTGGTGTATGGCAGTTTTTGTGCTAGGCACCTTTAAAGTTGACTTTGTTGGCATGGGTGAACTTAAAGGGATTTGCTGCCCTTTTTGCTGCGGGCAACAACTTTCTGATGAATATGTGCTCCTGGGAAAATAACCTGCAAATTTTAAGAAGGCTGGGTGTAAGGGCTAAGGAGTTCTGATGCATAAAATGAACAGCTTCGGGCTTACGTTCTGATGAAGTGCCATCCAAAGTCACAAAAACTAAATGCCAAGCTGGCTTGACATGAGAGGATTTTTGGACATGCTACACAAAGGGAGGACTTGAATATTCTGGCATTTTCCAACCAAGCACCACTAGGCAGAACTAGCAAAAGACCACAGAACAGACAAGAAAAATGTTACATTATTTCACTAAAGCAATGTTATTGGAGAGACCTGGTTAAATCCTGGTTTTCTCTGGTAAGAAGCAAGATGTGTCCGACACAAAAGAGCTTCCTGACAATGTTTCCCTCACATGACAAGCTTGGGAGAGAAAAGTTTCAGCTTTTGCAGACACTGTGTCTGCTGAGTTTAACATAGAAATCTCAAAAACGCTTTGGAGATCCCCTCTTCAGTTTAAAGAGCTTAAGAAAGATTCCTCTTTGGCTTGGATAAGCCCCAAATCCATCTGAAGTGGCCCACTTGAGTTTCAGGATTACTGAAAATCCAATGCACACCCCTAACTTTTAGTCATTGTAGAAGTTTTTTCCTGAAGTGACTGTCAAACCAACCAATCTCTCTCACAACACTTTGCATTTTCAAATCACCTTTAATGCAGAGCACATGCTTATTTTTGCTGTGACACATTCAAGAAAGCATAATTTCTGAGTTCCAACAGCATGTGTTGGGAAATTGCACTACTGATATACATTTTAAGTAAGAAAACTTGCCAAAAGTTCAAGCAAAAATGTATACGTAGCATTCAACTAATTGTGATTTGTTACAACAGTGTGTTAACCACAAAGAAGCCATCTAGGTAAGCTGTCACTATCTAGCAACCACATTATACAAAAACTCAGCTTACAGGATGTAAAACAAACAAGTCTTACAAAACATATTTTTTAAGTTGGAAGTGCAAACATATTCCTGGATGTATCCTGAAACTGAGCAGTTTATATAAAAAATAAAAACCTTTACAAACTAAACAAGTTGCCCTCAGTTAAAGAAATACACACACACACACACACACACACACACACACACCTGCTTCGTTCTGACTTTGTGGAAGAACCAGAATGCAATACAGTGGTACCTCTGGTTACGAACTTAATTTGTTCCAGAGGTCCGTTCTTAAGCTGAAACCGTTCTTATCCTGAGGTGCGCTTTCGCTAATGGGGCCTCCAGTGCGCGATTTCCGTTCGCATCCTGGGGCAAAGTTCGCAACCAGGAGCAGCTACTTCCGGGTTAGCGGAGCTCATAACCTGAAGCGTTTGTAACCAGAAGCATTTGTAACCAGAGGTACCACTGTAAAGGATAAGAGACCAATATTGTCTCATTGGCTCCCATGGAGAAAATAAGATATAAAGTAACCACCATTTCTTATCTGAAGTTACACCTCAGCATTGCTTGTAACAGCAGATAAATGTTTAAAAGTAGGTCTGAAGTAGGACTACAACAGCTGAGTAGACTTGGCAGTAATTTTATCTTTCCATTGCTTTGCAGTGTATTGATCTTGAAGAAAATTATTTTTTGCTATGTATGTTGTTAAGTTTACTTTGTGTAGCAGAACAATATCAACTTTTATTACCATGGATATATCATTTGCTGAATACTCAATCTAGCACTATTCTGTAATTTAATATTAACTGACTCAGCAGACCAAATTCCAATAATCAATATCAATATTGATTGATTTACGGATTTACCTTACTGTAGAACTAACCTCTGATCCTCATTGCATTCAAACCACAATTATCTAATGAAATTTGATTCACCAATATGTTTTTGCCACTCATGGGGAATGGCAACCTCCTCTAACCTAAACCAAATTTAATCTGCATATATTTACACTAGAAATGTTCTGGCAGTCACTGCTTTCCCAAAATGGAAAAAAATAAAACACTACTACCAATCCATAGCAGTGGGAAATTATCTTAAATGTAACTTAAGTCCAATACATACAACTTATCAGTGGCAGCATCTCTAGGGGGCCCTGGCGGTCCAAGCACTCACAAGTCACGTCCGAGGCTTTGTGAGACCTCGGGATCTGACTTCCAGTGATAGGTCTTGAGGACGCAGGGCGTATGGTGTCATGACGTCACATCACACACGCTGGGCACCCATAATCTGGGGCCCAAGTTGGTGCCCCTGCTACTTATTCTAAATGGATTTGACTTTTGAACTTCAAATGGTTATTTTCACTGGGACAGAAGAAACATTTTGCCCCACAGTAATTAAGACGCGATGAATATTTTATTCTTTACGGTTAAATAATAATTCTCTAGTGCTATACCTTAATAAATACTGCTACCTTGCTCAGCATTTTGAAATGTTATGAAAAATATAATTCAGTATCTCTGAAATAAATTATTCTTCATGATGTACTAAATGCAAAGTATATTTGGGAAAGCTATGCATTACAAGGGAAGCACAGGATTGGGTCCATATTTTCCAGCACTGAAACTCCACTAACAAGACATTTCAGCTGCTGATGCTCCCCTTCTACCTATATCCTCCTGAACTCCTAAAATCTGCTTGGTGGACTGGGTACCCTATAAAATAGTATAGGAAATGGTTAAGGAGAGGGTGGCTTCAAGGGGAAATCAGCCAAAAAATGTGTTTCACCCATCCCTTTCTTCAGCAGAAGCCTCTACTGTGTTCTCCTCAGAATACCACGGTGGAGCAAGGTTATCATATTGTCATGACTTAATCTTAGCAGATTCACATTTAATATGGCTTGAGTAGCTTGTCTTTTGAGGCCACAGTTCTTAGGCAAGCCACATCCTTAAATAATATAAACATTTTTCAAAAGCAAGTTTACATACGCAGTAGATGAAAGATTCCATCACAGGCGCTAATGTGTGACAAAAAGGCATTTCCTAGTCCCTGTCCAGCATGGGCTCCTTTCACAAGGCCAGCAATATCCACTACATTCAGAAAGGCTGGAATTTTGCTGAAAGATAATTTAAGATTTTTGTAATTAGAAACATAGTTCAATATTACCACATATCTGCAAGTATCTTTAGAGCACACACCCAGAAAAATCTATGCTGGGATGGGGAACATGTGACCCTCCCGTTGTTGATGGACTAATAATAATTTTATTATTTATACCCCACCCAACTGGCTGGGTTTCCCCAGCCACTCTGGGCTGCTTACAGCACATAAAAACCACAGAAAAACACCAACCATTAAAAACTTCCTTATACATCATATAGTCCTATATATCCTCCATCTATATCCTCCATCATCCCTGGTTACTGACCATGCCGGCTGGGGCTGATCCAGAAACACCTGGAGGGCCACAAATTAGCCACCCACCCTGTACTCTGAACACCTACATGCAGTTTTAAGTGAACAACTGCAACTAGTAATAAAGAAAACATACACCCCTTGAAACGTCAATATTTGCTGTTGTAGACTTTTCAATTTGCAGATCCTGAAGTTGTGGACTCTTTAAGAATTGAGGCCTACCACATGCACACTAGTGGCCAAAATTGTGGAAACCTTTAGAAAAAGTTGCATTTCTAAGTTCTGATGGCTCATAACATCCATCTTTTTTATAATAATACTATAAAATAATACAGAAAAAATGTGTATCATTAGGGAAAAAATTAATGCAGAACATAATGCAACAAACTCTGTCAAATTATCTTTATTCTATTAAAGGTTATAGTCCAATAATCAGAAAAAGAAAGCACAACTGCCTTATGTAACATGAAGTGGATTTCTTTAACTAAAAATTGACCAATGACAAACAGAGTGAAAAGAGTTGACTAGTCACCTAGAAAGCGATGTAGTAGCCCTGACCTGAATCCAAAAGAAAATCTGTAGAGCCGATTAAAGAAACCTGTCAGTCAGAGGCAAGCAAGGAATGGAGCACAATTGATAGAAGCAATCATACAATCTTGGTTACACGTTATAACACCTGATGAACTAAAATCTTTGGTTCACTCAATGGGATGCCGTTGTAGGGCTGTAACTGCAGCAAAAGGTTTCCACACTAAGTACTAACAGAAATGGTGAGAAGTTATGAGATACCCTTTATCGTGGTTTTCTGTGTATAACTTATTTCATTTGGCTATAACTTTCACTAGAATAAAGATAATTCAACAGTTTATTGCATTATATTATGCATTAAATTATATTTCTGATGATAAGATAATTTTATGGCACTATTCTAAAAATGACTGATGTCGAAGCTCAGAAATACCGTATTTTTCGCTCTATAGGACGCACCGGACCATAGGAGGGGGAGAACAGGGAAAAAAATTCTCCCCCTCTCTGCTCAGCGCCCCTTCAGCGAAGCGGGAGGAGAAACGGAGCCCCTTCCATTTCTCCTCCCGCTTCACTGAAGGACCACTGCGCAGAGAGGAGAAGCTGTGCAGTGCCTCTCCAGCAAAGCCAAGACTGGAGAGCAAGAGGGATCGGTGTGCACCGACCACTCTCGCTCTGCAGGCTTCAGGCGGCTATCCGCAAGCCTTCAGAGCACGAGAACTCCTGCTGCGCTCCGAAGGCTTGCGGATAGCTGCCTGAAGCCCCCGGAGCACAGCGGGAGTTCCCGCTGCGCTCCGGGGGCTTCAGTGAAAGCAATGCGAAGCCTCCGGAGCGCGGGGGGAAGCTCTCCCTCTGCGCTTTGGAGGCTTCGCATTGCTATCGCTGAAGCCAAGGAGCCTGCATTCGCTCCATAAGACGCACACACATTTCCCCTTAATTTTTGAAGGGGAAAAAGTGCGTCTTATAGAGCGAAAAATACGGTATATATTTTCCAAAAGGTTTCCACAATTCTGGCCACTAGTTCAACCCTGTCCTTCCTGGTACGTTCAACCCTTGTTCTTCCTGGCAAATAAGATATAAGAATAATAAATAATAAGAATTATTATTATTATTATTATTATTATTATTAGCAGCAGCAGCAGCAGCAACTAAAATAATGGAAGTGGTCAATGCCTCTCAAAAAGAGGGAGATTTTCCAATGGACCTAAAGAGATGGTGGTAAGGCCATTATTTTTAAAAAGCCACTTATAGGGAGTACATGACTCCTAGATTACAACTTCCTCCCAAGGTACGTATGTTTAGCCCCTTCAATGCTGGCTATTGAACAAGCTTTTAAAACCTATTTATTCTGAGCTACTTTGTGCTAATCATTTTAGGGTTTTATATTATTGCTAGTTTCAAACTAATAGTTTGCTTGATATTTTGTTTTAGATGGGTGTGTACTGGCTTTTGAAATGTTTTAATCATTTTTTAACTTTGATTGTATTATATTGGAATTATCCTTTTTATGTAAGCCACCCTAAAAAGGCCTTCCCAGTCTTTGAAACTTCCTACTGCCTTCCATCAGCAAGGATAAATCTTATTCTAATGGAACTTAAATAGCCACTCCCTAACATTAAGTCGCCTGGCCAACTTACAAAACAAATACAAAACTTACAAAACAAAAACTTATAATACATTTAAAATGTTTTTAAACTAAAAGCACAATTAAGATTTTAAATATAAAATAATCAGATAATAATATGTTGAGTTGTTGTGTGTGGTTTTTAAACTCTTCCTCCAGTTCCAAAAAGACTACAAAGGTGCCATCAAGCAAACCTATATGAGAAAACTTTCCATAATTGGGCTACTACCAAAGAGATCTCTCCCTGGTGGTTACCTGCCTCATCTTGGATGGTGGTGGCACTTAGACAAGGGTTTCTGAGGAAGATGTTAAGCTTCAAATAGCTATATATGGGGAAAACCAATTATTTCAGGTAACCTTGCTCCACACCATTTAAATCTTTAAAACAAGAGTGCATAACCTGTGGTCCTCCAGATGTAACTGGACTACAGCTCCCAGTCAGCATGGCAACAAGATCTGGATGGCCTCAGGTTAGCAACCCTTGCTTTAAAGCTTAAAACCAGCACTTTATATATAGAATTGATTTTAATCAGACTTCTATTTGGCAAACATTCATTTCCTAAAGAAAAGTACAAGATAAGTAGTTCATATAAATATTTAATATTGCTGACATATAGCTGAACTATGCACTATATCTGACATGTTTTGCAACACAATAGCAATAACCCAAGTACTTACAGGTTAATAAAAATCTGAATTATATTTCTAATGCCATTTTTCTAAGTATTAACTTAAATCATAAATAGTTATGATTTAGTTTGTCTTTAGGATGGGACAACTTAAAAAAAGAATTGATAGAAAATTCCTCCTGAAGAAAGGGGCATTTTGAGTATGTTAAGCTCCTGGGCTTAATAGCATGACCATGAAATCTTCAAGGTAATACCTAAATGGTTATTTAAAGTCAGAAACTTTACCTCATGACTTAAGTATTAGAGCAGGGTGGGGAATGTTTTTCAGGCAGGAGCCACAGTGCATCACAGAATCACAGAACTGTAGAGCTGAAAGGGACCACCAGAGTCATGTAGTTCAACCCCCTGCAAAGCAGGAAACTTTTGCCCAATATGGGGCTCGAATCCACAACCCGGAGATTAAAGAGTCTCATGCTCTACCAACTGAGCTATCGTGCCTTAACAGTGGGCAGGACCAGAGACACAAAAAAAGGGGGGGTGAACTCTTGTCTTTGTACAGTAGATCAGATTTGGGTTTTTTATTGTTTAATATTTTAGGGCCATACACCTAAAACAAATAATTTCCAAACACATGTACTTTTCTTTATCTTTTTGTAGTTGGTTACTTGTATATTTCTTCTTTTTTGTACTCCATAAAATTTAATAATAAAAAAATTAAAAAATAATAATTTCCAAACACATCATACCATGCAGACAATTTCCAAACACGTCACATCATGCAGACAAGAAAGACACATTGCCACAATTCAAATACACAGCACAGCACAAGCACTCAAGGAAGAGACACAGCAGAGCCAGTGAGGCATCCCAAGAGCAAGATAGAGAATATTGAAGAGCCAAATTTGACTCCCAGGCCTGACATTCCCCGCACTTATGTTAAAGAGTCTTAGTTCACAAAGGAGACATCAGACAATACTTCACATACTGTATATTCTTGTATAAACTTTGGAATGCATTCTTACCCATAACCAAAACAAAAACTGAAAACACATCAAAATGTTTAGACACCAAAAAATTATCTATGTATAATTATAAAAACTGGAATTTCTTGTTCTTTAATAGTGATCTTCAAATAAAAAAACATCCTTTTGAACAATAGGATATTTACTAAATCTTTACAGACATCATATTCATGTTAGCATGCCTTAACTCCCTTAAAGCTTGGACTATACAACAACCTAACATCTTACTAACAAAAATGATTTAACAGACTATAAGATTAAAAGAGCCAGGAGCTCAACATAGCTTTTTTAAACAATACAATTGTGAAGCCTGTTTACTCAGAAGCAAGTCCCACCAACTGCAGAAGAACTTCCCCCTACAAAGCATCCTAAGAATAATGGCTTAAGTTCTCTACAGTCAACACCAAAGAGAGCCCAGAAGAAGAAGAAGAAGAAGAAGAAGAAGAAGAAGAAGAAGAAGAAGAGGAAGAGTTTGGATTTGATATCCCGCCTTTCACTCCCCTTTAGGACTCTCAAAGCGGCTAACATTCTCCTTTCCCTTCCTCCCCCACAACAAACACTCTGTGAGGTGAGTGGGGCTGAGAGACTTCAAAGAAGTGTGACTGGCCCAAGGTCACCCAGCAGCTGCATGTGGAGGAGCGGGGAATCGAACCCGGTTCCCCAGATTACGAGACTACCGCTCTTAACCACTACACCACACTGGCTCTCAGAAGATAATGCTACACTATACAGAATGGTGATAGAAGGAAATAGGTCACAAGCAGAGGACTCTACAAGAACTAGTTCCATGGGAGAGAAGTTTGTTTGATCCCAGAAGGCCCATCAGCTCATATAACAGCAGTGGGAAAGTAATGGGAATTGATGCTCCAAATATCAGGGGCAAATGCAATTAGAAGTTGGAAAGAATTTAGTTTTAGTGTTTAAAACTAAAGGAACAAATTGTGGTTTTAATTTCTTGGTTCACTGTTCACTCTGCCTTAGATATAGGGGTATGAAGAAAATAGGCAATAGTGAAGCTTTTTATGTGATCTGCTTTAAAGGCAGACATCTAAGCAGCCACTTGTATGTGGTAAATACGAATAATATCCAGGTAAGGAGAATTTTGTAGATGGAAACACAGTCCTTTCCCCCCCTTTTCAGATGTTCATGTGCCACAATGGCTTTCACATGTATGAACAAGCAGGCTAATAAGAAAGTTCAGGCATGTTGACTTGCTTGCAAGATTATTTCAAGTTGCCTGAAGAATTCCTATTTTCAAACGATGAGGTCCTCTCACTAGATTATTGTTCAAAAGCAATCCTTTTTTAAAAAACCAAACAACACAACTTCAAAACACTTAAATACTTAGAAATGGATTTTGCGAAAATATTGCTTATTGAGAAGCTTATTTCTTTACGTAGAAACAACCAACTGATAACATGTGCGGTACTAACCTTGGAGGCTTGTGGTACTGGCAAAGGAAATCAAATCTTTCATCTGGTACAGGTACTCTGCTCTCATTTGGATCAATAGTGCAGAAAGGAAAGTTCTCTGCTGCAGCTTGACTCTTGGTTAATACATTGAAAAAGGTAGATTTCCTTAAAAAAAAGAAAATGTTGCAATATTTGAGATCAGCTTCCCAATAATACCACATGTGCAACATTATATAGTGTACATTTGTGTTGGACGCTGGGCACCGCCGTGTCCTTTTATACTTTTAATGCTGCCTATACCTTTGCATTATTTTTGCACAGACATAATAAATTATTAATTATTATTATTATTATTATTTATTTGTACCCCGCCCATCTGGCTGGGTTTCCCCAGCCACTCTGGGCGGCTTCCATAGAAACCAAAAAACACTAAAATATCATACATTAAAAACTTCCCTGAACAGGGCTGCCTTAAGATGTCTTCTGAATGTCAGGTAGTTGTTTATCGTTTTGACATCTGATGGGAGGGTGTTCCACAGGGCGGGCGCCACTACCGAAAAGGCCCTCTGCCTGGTTCCCTGTAGCTTTGCTTCTCGCAATGAGGGAACCGCCAGAAGGCCCTCGGCGCAGGACCTCAGCATCCGGGCAGAACGATGGGGGTGGAGACGCTCCTTCAGGTATACTGGGCCGAGGCCGTTTAGGGCTTTAAAGGTCAACACCAACACTTTGAATTGTGCTCGGAAACGTACTGGGAGCCAATGTAGGTCTTTCAAGACCGGTGTTATGTGGTCTCGGCGGCCGCCCCCAGTCACCAGTCTAGCTGCCTCATTCTGGATTAGCTGTAGTTTCCAAGTCACCTTCAAAGGTAGCCCCACGTAGAGCGCATTGCAGTAGTCCAAGCGGGAGATAACTAGAGCATGCACCACTCTGGCGAGACAATCCGCGGGCAGGTAGGGTCTCAGCCTGCGTACCAGGTGGAGTTGGTAGACAGCTGCCCTGGATACAGAATTGACCTGCGCCTCCATGGACAGCTGTGAGTCCAAAATGACTCCCAGGCTACACACCTGGTCCTTCAGGGGCACAGTTACCCTATTCAGGACCAGGGAGTCCTCCACACCAGCCTGCCCCCTGTCCCCCAAAAACAGTACTTCTGTCTTGTCAGGATTCAACTTCAATCCATTAGCCGCCATCCATCCTCCAACCGCCTCCAGGCACTCACACAGGACCTTCACCGCCTTCACTGGTTCATGGGAAACATCTAAGTTTTTCCAGGTTTCCACTGGAATCCCTCCAAAGTTGTATTATCTGTAGCTCAGCAATTCTTTAAAGTTACATTTCAACTTCTTACCCACTGTAATGACTTTCTAGATTTGGACAGCTCATGTTCAGGCTTTGGTTATCACATTAAGTGCCCTATTCAATCATACAGAAGCTCAATTTAGTCCAGAATCCTGCTTCCCTCAGCAACCCACCACATGCTTCTGAGAAGCCTACAAGAAAACAATACCCATCTGCCACTGTAACTTCCCAGTTATAGGGCCTCTTCCAAGTTTTCTTTCTTTCTGGGAAACAGTTATTCATGCTGAGACTTTTTTTTAAAAAAAAAAAGAAGTTGTGTTTGCTAAAACAATTCCAAAATTTTGGTCTAATGCACCATTATGGCATCTATGGCATAATCTGAAAGAAGCTTAGGTAAAAGCAAAGTCAGCCTACTTACGCTGAACAAAACTGGAAGATCAGCAAAAACTTCTTCTACCAAAGATGTGTGTGTTTTAGGTTACATTGGTTTCTAACTCAAAGCACTTATTTGAAGACCTGAAGTGCAATAAAGTATCCACAATACCATTTGTGACCACAATTTCATCAATATCTTATGATAGCATCTCTTATCACAGAAATCATTTGCAAAATTCTTATGTATCTCCCTGTCTCTTACATCTTAACCCATCATAATTCTATTTACAAACAACTTTAAATGCTGTCTCCACCTTCCAGTACTATTCCCACAGTTTCAGCTATACTGCTTCATTTCCAAAACAGGCCTCCTTTCTGTTTGTGAACCACACCAACATATATTCCTATATTACTATTGCTACACCTCTCTCCACTACTATTCCCCAATATTTATCTGTCAGTTCTTGACTCAGACTTCACAAGCTCTAGTCTAGAGAGAGGCCACAGCACCAATTCTTCAGAACATCTAGTACACTGTTGGAACTAAATACTGAAAGAGACAGACCCCAAAAGAAAGATTGTTTCTATATAAACTGTGCCCCTTCTTTCTGCATAGTATAATTACCTTTATCAAGTAGAGTTTAAATACCTAACTAAACAGAAAAAAGTTGACAGTCTGACAAGGTTCTTTACCTTCATCTCTCCACCCGCTGTATCCATACAGTCAGATGGGGGGTATAAATAAATAAATTATTATTATTATTATTATTATTATTATTATTATTATTCTGCATGTATCAGCCATAAATAGGTTAGAAGCTGTCAGCTAATGTGCTTTCAGTGCAGCATTGCTTTTAATAGTAAGTGTTTAAACTTCCTCACATCTTTAAACAATCCAAGGAAGCTGGTCAAAAGTGCCTATATGAAACAAAGACTTGTGTTCTTTTACACATATTTCCAATAAAAATAACTATTCCTTTCCAGATAATTTACAGGCAAAATAACATCACAATAAAAATCAACTGTTGGATAATTAAGGTTAAAATGTTTGTAGAGAAAATTCAATTATTTATAAAGGTATTTCCATTCATTAAAATAATTTAATTTCTTATCAGTTATCTATCAATCTATTCATTAAGCCCAGTTCAGTAAAATATATCTTTTTCAAACAGCAACTCAAAACACCTTTTGTTCAAAAATGATCTAATTTAAGTAAAACATAAGAATGAACTTATAAGCATAAATGCTAATCTCAACCAATATTTCACAGTGTTCATACTGCAGCATAACACTAATTTATTCAGGAGGGCCTACTATCTTTAGGATGACTAAGCAAAGTTTATCCCCCTTGAATCACCTACCCAACATTTGGCAAGCCAACAATGCCAATTTTCAGGGTTGTCCCGAATCTTCCAACGATTGGATGTGGCTTGAGTCCATCACCTCCCTTTTTGGGGGGCATCTGAAATGAAAAATAGAAGCCACTTAAATCCCAAACTCCCTTGCTTACCTCCAGGACTCCCAAGGTAACATGTGTTCTGATACATAAACCGAGGTGAACATGTCAGCTTTCTAAAACATGTCCAATACCTTTTTGGGAGCCATGGCATCTACACATAACAGCAAGGCAAGGAGAATATCCTCTGGGATGCCCAAGGGCCAGCCACCAGCCAGGCACAACAGGGCTGCGCATGGCACCCTTCGTGCAACCACAAATCCCAAGCCAGCTGGACTGGGCTGCTGCTGCTGCAGCTTCTGCAAAGTCCCTAAGAAATGCCGTGCTAAAAATAACCGGCTCGGATCCCAAAGGACGGATTGAAATTCAGCACCCGCTACAGCTCCACCTGACGTGCTCGGCTCTGAGTGGCAGCCGCAGAGGCTTCCCCGGGCAGTCAAACGAGCTGGCGGGAGGGCTGAGCGGAGGGAGCAGCACACCGGCCGGGCGAGAAGCACAACTTGGCGGCTCGCGAGGAGAGCAGGATCCTACAGCAAAAACCCCGGAGCCGAGCGAGCCAACACCGCCCGCTTCCCTGCCAGCACCGCGCCTGCGCGCACGCGGAGAAAGGGCTCGGCTTACCGGCTGCCCTACCTCACGGCCTCGGGCGGCCGAAAACAGCGAGCGGCCCATTTCCCTCAAGCCACCCCGCCGCCTCACGAACCGGGCAAGGGGAGCACCTTCGCTTTCCTCCCCCCTCACCCGTCCCTTACCCCGGCACAACCAGTAAGGCATGCGGCCCGGCCCACCCGAGCCACGGCCCCCAAAGCACAGCCGGCTGGCAGGTGGCGGTGGGCAAGCGGAGCCCGACGCAGCCTGAGGTCGCTTCCCAGCCACGCAACGCACCGACGGGCAGCAGCAGGCCTCTCTCTCCAGCTGGCCCGGCCCGCGTGGCAGCCGCTGCCGCAACAACTGAGGGAGGTGAGGCGGGAAAAGCCGAGCTGGGCCTCCTCCTCCTCCGAGCCGCCGCCTCGTCCGCCGCCTGAGAGGCACGCGGCGAAGAATGAAACGCGGACACCCCACCCCCCCCCCTCACGAAAGCCGCGCGGGCCCAGCTGAGCGTCTTCACCGTTGCCTGTGAGGGGGGGAGGGAGGGACGGTTGCGACTCTCGCTCGCGCTCTCCCCCACCGCGAGAAGACCCCTCGCGCGCGCCGACACGCTGCCTGTCGCCCTACTCAGCCAGCCGGCGGAACAGGCGGGACGCAGCTTCCCTATTGGGCGGGGACTCGGCCCGAGGGCAAAGGTCACGCAGGGGAAGCGGAGGGACGCAGGGGGGGGTGCGTGCGTGCGTGCGTGTGGTTGTTGAAGGAGTGGGTTGCCTGAGTATACCTGCGCGAGGAGGAAGGAAGGGCGGGTCTCGCGAGGGGTGGGGGCGGGAGGAGGCAGGGAAAGGTGGCGACGCGGACGCCGACGCCTCTTACTTCCGGGTTCCTGGATGCCAGACCTGGAAAGACGCAAAAGGAGATGGAGATTCCCCGTCTCTGGACGCGGCTCAAAGACGCTCATCGCTTACCTGCTGCTGCTTCCTGCTGTGCCACCTCCTCCCGACTCTTGCGCGTGGTTCCTCAGGGGTTTTGCCTGCCTGCCTGCCTGCCTGCCTGGAATGGAAACTGCATCAGCCGGTGTTCCCAAACTTGGGTCTCTCCAGCTTCTTCTTCTTCTTCTTCTTCTTCTTCTTCTTCTTCTTCTTCTTCTTCTTCTTCTTCTTCTTCTTCTTCTTCTTCTTCATTTTTTGACTGCAGTTCCCATCATCCCTGACCACTGGTCCTACTAGCTAGGGATGATGGGAGTTGTAGTCCCACAACAGCTGGAGACCCAAGTTTGGGAAAACACAGCTGTACAGCAAGAGGACCTCAGAGGTCACAAAGGCTTCAGTCCTAAACCCTGAGGAAATGACCCCTATTGAAATCAATAGGACTTGCTTCTGAGTAAACGTGCTAAGCCTTGTGCAACTCTCGATTTCATTGGGAGGCGAAATAATTCACTGGGGCTTGCTCCCAGAAAAGTGTGCATGAGACTGCTGCTGAAGTTTCCCAAGTATGGGAAACATAAAGTTTTCTTTTTTGAAATCCTCAGAAGTTGTGTATTGTCAGAGATTTATAGGTGCTATAGTTTAATTAAGGTTAGGGGGTGTCAGAGCTAATTTACTCAGTGGAAAAAGCCAGTAGTAGTATTAAGGGGTGTGGTGGACCCACTGATAAGTAAGCACACTTCCTGGGTTGTGTATTGGACGTTGTAATCCTAGCCAAATCAACAAGTGATAAGAGGTCAGGCAAACCTTTGTGAGGTGACCACCTGGGGGAATAGGATTGTCCTCAGTTGCCAATCCTGGTGGAGCCAAGGCTATGAAGTTCAGCTCATGTTTACATGGAAGTTAGACCTGCTGAGTTCAGTTGAGTGAATGTGTACAGTACAGGATTGCATCTTGCCAAACAGATCTTCTATAACGATGAATCTCCATAACTAAGGATGCTTGTGGCCATGGTTTCTTCCTCACTGAGTAAACACAAGTTCCATCCCAGTATGGGTTTCTTTTTGTCACTTTTTTTTTTAAGACTGCCATTCCAACTACACCAGGAGCAAAAGACGAAGACTGTTTTCCCCCTATGTGCTTTGTACAATGATCTGTTCTGAAAATAACAAGCCCAAGTGCTGGTCATTTGACATGTAGAAATGACAGCCGAAGCACCGAATACCTCACTTCACTGTCACTCTCTAGCCAACATCAGCAATTTAAAACATTCTGCCCAAATGGAAAGAAAACAAGTTACTGTGTCATTTGGAATGGCAGGAAGTTCCCTAGGTTACATCTCGTTTATTTTCTTTGAGAACTAATTAGATTTAAGCCATGGGTGTTGAATGTAAGGCCCTGTTGCTTTATCCAGCCCCTTTAAGATTTCTGATGTGTGGCCTCTGCCTCCTCTACAGCACTCCACACAACTGCTATCACTTTCAGGGCAAAGGAGCCAATGCTCTTAGTAGGGCAAAGGTGCTTACCAATAACTACTAATACATCAGCCTTGGCCCTTTCCTCTAAAATTTGCTGTATGGAGTGACGGGGGCAGAAATAAGTGTATAGTATACTATGAATTTGTTCTAATCTGTAGCCAAATTAAGACTGTCCACACCTGAGTTCTTCCTTTATCTCCCCCCCCCCCCAGTTTTTCATTGCCATCTGCCCTTCCTTTCCACACAAGTTGCCCCGTCAAACTGTTGCATTCAAGTCCTTTCCCCATTTCAATCGGCAAATGCCAAGCAGGTCAACATTCTTTTCACAGGATCAATAATGTGGGCAGATATTAGCAAGTAGATTCTACCTGTACATCATTTTTTAAAAAGCATTTCTTCCTCCTTATCCTCACTATTGAGTGCCTCTCCCTGTTTGCAGTGCTGGACATCAGCCGGTGCGACTCAGATTTTTGTTGGCAAATTGTTGCTTTTAATTCAAATTTAAACTGAATCAGTGTTTTGCTGAAGAACCATATAGTCCCACTGCTGCATCCTCACAATAGCCTTACCACGTCGCGTACAGGTCTAGTTTGCACAGCAGCATCAGCCAAATTTACTTACTGGAAACACACAAACATGCAGGCTCCTGGAGGGAAGCACATAGTTGCTCTGGTTTCCCCTGGAGTTTTTTTTACTGCTGCACTGCACTGTGCTAAGGCAAGGTTTGTTCTTGGCTACAAACTCATGATTAGTGAGCAGAGAGCTTAACCATGAGTTCTGGTTTGGATGACATCCTAAGCCAAACCTTGGTTTAGCTCAGCTTGCACAGAGCAGCATCTGTGAGCTTCTTTCCAGGATCCTTGGTCCATCCATCTCAGCACTACAGTGGTACCTCGGGTTAAGTACTTAATTCGTTCTGGAGGTCCATTCTTAACCTGAAACTGTTCTTAACCTGAAGTACCACTTTAGGTAATGGGGCCTCCGCGCCGCCGGAGCACGATTTCTGTTCTCATCCTGAAGCAAAGTTCTTAACCTGAGGTACTATTTCTGGGTTAGTCTGTAACCTGAGTCATGTAACCTGAAGCGTATGTAACCCCAGGTACCACTGTATCTTCTTACTGATTGGTAACAGCTCTTCAAGATCACCAGCTTTTTCCTGGTCTGCTACTAGAGATAATTTTAACTGAAGATGCTTACAACCATGCAAGACATGTACAGTGGTACCTCTGGTTACAGACACTTCAGGTTACAGACACTTCAGGTTACAGACCCCGCTAACCCGGAAATAGTACCTCAGGTTAAGAACTTTGCTTCAGGATGAGAATAGAAATTGCGTGGCAGCAGCGGGAGGCCCCATTAGCTAAAGTGGTACCTCAGGTTAAGAACAGTTTCAGGTTAAGAACGGACCTCCAGAACGAATTAAGTTCTTAACCCGAGGTACCACTGTACGCTACCACTGAGCTTTAATCCATCCCCAATTACATGTTTCCACAGACCTAACTGACCTATTAACAGGTGGCAACCATTTTAGGCACATCCAATTGATGCAAAATCCCCAGTGTGTGGGTCCTTCTGGACCAGGAATAGGATAGAACAGGAGTGTAATGGGGCAGGGCGCACTTATGCACACTCTGCCTACATGCACAGGGGGGCGGGAATAACACTCCCACATGCAGTGGCCATTGCCTGTCTACACCAGTGCTTTTTTCTGGGCGGGATACAGGGGTACGCATGCCCCTAAACATTTTGTGAATCTAACGGGAAAAGAAACTAATTTTTTTATTTAAAAAAATTAATAGTTTTTTCTCTAGCACAGCGAATCGTCATCGTTACATTGCTACCTCCGATGGCGGCCTCATTTCCTGTCATGGTGTTTCCTGAGTCTCAGACAGAAGCGAGCGTTTAATGTGTGAAGTAGGAGTTGGAATCTAGCACGGTGATTGGTCAGTTTCGTTGCCACCACCTCCGATGGCGGCTTCATTTCCTTTCCCGGCGATTTTCTTGAGTCAAAATGAGAGTACCCCTAAACATTTTTTAAGAAAAAAAGCACATGTTAACCAAAACTAACATTGTTCTAACTACTGCCTGAGCCTCTGCATATTTACTCAGAAGTAAATTGCCCTGAGTTCAACAGCGCTTCCTCTCAAATCACCATGCAGAGGATTACAGAGCTAGGCTTATGAAAATTATGAAATGATTAGCACAAAGGAAAGCAATACCTCTTAAGAGTCACTTCAAAGTCACCACCACAGTCACTTCTTCGGATGTCCATAGTAACTGCCAAATTATCCACCAGCAATTCACA